AAATAATATATATTTGTGACATATATATGTAATTATTATTAGTATTATTACTATTAGTTTCACGCCAAAACATGAAGAAAGTGTGACAACTTTGCCGAAACATGTTGTTTGAGTTTTCATGGTGTCCGTAGTTCCCCAGAGAAGAACGCCAAACAAGCACGTGCTTTCTCAGTGCTCATAGTGAGCACGCGCGTATTTTGCCACCTGGGCGGTGCGGAGCAGCAAGAAGACGCAGGGGGAACCATATCTGATGGGGAAACGCGGATTGACGTAACAAAACCACCTAAATATGTTCCGTTCATACAGGTGGTTTTGGCACTTTTATGCCATCTCTGTTTGCTGGAATATTTTCCTTCTCCTGTTGTCTTTCAACTTCATCTACCAGCTTCAGTCTTACCCACCATGGCTGACTGGGATTTTGGAGATTTTAACTGGTGTACCCAGTTCTTTTGGCCAAGGTAAACTAGCTCTTATCTGTTAGGAGTTTTTATTTCTTTTCCGATCCTCGCTGATGGGGGGCGGGGGGATTCTCTCTGCAGCCCCGCAGCTGTCCACAGTCCTGGTGCTGCTGCTGCTGTGTGTCCACTCCCTCAGGAGGCTGCTGGAGTGTCTGTTTGTCAGCGTGTTTTCTGATGGGGCCATGCATCTGGTGCAGTATTTGTTTGGCCTGGGCTATTACATTGTGCTGGGATTGACTGTGCTTTGTTCGGATCTCACGGCAAAAGGTTAGATTCTCTACTAATACTGTCATGTGCCATTCTGCTATGGTGATGTAAATGCTTATGCTTCTTGTTTAGGTCCTGGGACTCTCCTCTCTTGCTCGGATTGGATTCGTGCGGCCGGATTTGTTCTCTTCATCGCGGCCTCTCTCCTGCAGCATCAGTCTATGGTCCTGCTGGCCGGGCTTCGCAAAGGAAAGTCAGGTCAGTCTGTGAGCGACGGAGTTTATTTAACTCTACCAACTACTGACACATCTAAACAGACTGAAAAAACTTTAGGTGTCATTGAAACACAATTATTATATTTACTTTGCCCTTTCATCAAAATTTTTCATCTCAATACAGAATAGTGGATTTCTTAGAGATAACAGGATCAGTTTGTAAAGGCCGTATGTGAAGCACTTTTAAAGGTTCAATTAGTTTAACGGTTTACATCGAAGGGTCAGAATCAGAAAAATCACCAGAAAATGCTGATCTAAGTCAATAAAAGTGCAATAACGTTTAGCCAAAGAGACACAGTATTACTATAGGGCTGAGAAAAAGCGACTTTGGCAGAGGACACAATTAATGATTTAAGTGGGCCAAAAAAAAAAATGTATTAAGATATTGATATTAAGATGAAAAATCTGAAATTAAATTTGATGAAAGGGCAAAGTAAGTGTAATAACTTAAAAAAAGACAGAAGTATTGAAGTTAAAATAGACAACATGTCTTAGTTGTCACAAAGAAGGGTAGAAAGCAGCAAAAAGAGCAACGCAGCCACCATCACTAATACGAACGAGAAGGCATGTTCTGCTGCAGCTGCTGTGAAAAACCTAAATGCATTCTTTGACCTGTTTGCTTCTCCTTTTAGGAAGAGTGGAGACTCTGGCTCACCGGGTGCCAGAGGGGGGCTGGTTCGAGCTGGTTTCGTGTCCACATTACTTCGCCGAACTGCTCATTTACGTCTCGCTGGGCTTCACTCTCGGCGGGTTCTCTTTCACCTGGTGGCTGGTGGTCCTTTACGTGCTCTTCAACCAGGCACTGGCTGGACAGCTTTGTCACGACCTTTACATCAGCAAGTACGAGTCGTACCCAAAGCACAGAAGAGCATTTATACCGTTTGTGCTCTGAGCTCTTTGCAACTGTAAATAGACTGCAAATTCTGATATGAGATTCAAAACATGGACCTTAAATTAGTGTTATTACTGTCAGATCTTGTTTTATGGTATGCCAACATGTCTTTGCTTGTTACAACATTCCATCTTGTTATAGTTGAGGTTCAAACTTATTTATAAAGATGTAAAACAACTGCCGTTGACGTGAAGTGTTTTACATTAACATAATAAAACACCAAAGAATGGTAAAATATTAAAATGACAGGAAAGAAAATCCTCCCTCATACATATATAGAAGCATGGGTTTGGATCCTCACTGATGTGCTGGGAGAATTGATCCCATAGTTTTAGGGGCGACAACTGTGAAGTTTTGTGCACCAGTCTGGACAGCTGTACAGAGCTGATCACTAGAAGTTTGCAAAATAGTTTTTAGTAGATATAAGAATGGTTTGATTGTGCACAAAAATAAATGACCCGAAATGTTACACAGTAATGTAGGCACTAAAATACACCACAAACAAAGAAGATGGTGTGAAGTCTGAAGCTGGCTACTGTTGCTTTGGCACTGAGGGTAAATAAGTTTGCTTTTTCTAATGCGCTTCCACAAAGTTTTGTCCAGGTTGCCTGTCCAGTCGGAGGCCACTAATAACCTCTTGGTGGCACAAAAATACCAAACACAGTAAGAGAATTTCAAGAGTGCCGTTTATGCATATTGATGAGGTGGGATTTTACATTTCAGGTCAAACAAAGAAACAACTGTTTAAATAAAACAGATTTTAGAAAATGCATGTAAAAGAATACAACAAAATTATTTTCTAGAGGCGATTGAATGCTAACTCTGTCTTCAGACTCTGAAAATTACACCTACATCAGAAAGCTGTTGGCTCATTTTCGCCCGTGCAACCGGTGAGTAAACTGAGCTCTCCGGATCACATGTCAGTGGCTACAGGAGCTGAACAAATATTTACACAGTCATGGTGGTTTTGATCATTCTGACTTTATGCATTTTATCAAAACTTAACACATAATTTAATTTGCAACACTGACCAATGATTTAAATGTTACAGTCGGTAAATAAAAAAAAAACATTATTTAGCATTAATTGATTAGATTCAAGCTGGCCCAGACCTTGCTCAGGATTAGCAGTTGGAAGGTGTGAGTGTTTTTAATAGTAACACACCTCGAGTGTTACAGCGACGCAGAGACTTTTGGAGACTGGTTTGGCTTCTTTTTGCAAAGAAAACATTCACGTACAGGCTAAATTATGCAGAAAATACCATTACTGGATATCACTGGACTATTCAAACTTCCACCAGACTGAATGGGCCATCTTGAAAAAAGAACTAGAGAGAAGTGTTATGAAAGAGACCACAAACAGTCCTGGGTCATGCTGACCGTAAGGTGTGCTAAAGCTATGCATGTGGCAGGGTTGCTTCTCGTTCAATGTAGTGGGCTCATATGTAGAATACTGACTTGTTGGCCAGCCGACACTAATTAATACGTAGCTTTTATTTGAACTTTGCTCCACAACAAATTACCTTTAACTTTGAGCTAATGCCGACAAACTGTCCAATCACCGAATTCTCCACTCAGGTCGTCATCACATACGTAGAGAGTCATTATTTTTCGCTGTCCAATCAGGTGTCGGCTCTGTTAACTTAATGCTGGAGCGACATTACAACTTCCCTCTTGAGTTGGCCCAGTTGGTTTCATCGTGACGTGTAACCCCGGGTACTGAATAGTTTGTAAAAATGAAGTTTGCTTGTTTGGTTTAGGGCAAAATGAAGTGAATTTCGGGATAGGAGACAGTCTTACAGCTCGTGTTGGGTCGCTTCCGGTAGCAATAATGCCTGTGTTGTTGGGAAGAGGAGATGGAGGAGCTAACAGAAGTCTGCTGTTTCCGCTCGCCGCCGTGTTGCTGCTGTCGGTCGGAGTTGCTGCCATTCAGGAGGAGCAGAAAGCAGTGCAGGAAGAGCCGCAAAAGGAGGTAAAAATGTACATTATAACGCCCAGTTAGACATTTATGTCGTGGTCGGCGGAGAGCTTCTCTGAAACAGCTAGCTCCTGTGAGTTAGCGCGTGCTAACCAATAAACACCAGCGTTTTCCGGGTGTTGTACTCCCGGAGTGACCAATTTGATATAGTTTTTGACTGATTTCATGTCAACAAAGCTGCCAAAGTGCTTATAAACTGGGGTTATGGTCGGTTTAATATACTTCCACCGGTACCGACAGTTTCGCGAGTTTTGTTTCCTCATTCATGTTGTCATGTGACCTGGTTTGGGATGCAGTATGGATATTTTCTATAAGCGCTGTAACTTGACTGCTGTTTTTTGTTTTGTTTCACAGAAAGCCACTAGTCCCCATCCAGTGGGGCCTATTGTTACTGAGAATGGCTCCATCAAAGGAAACCTGGGTTTCATCCACGCCTTCGTGGCCTCTTTCTCCGTTATCATCGTCTCAGAGTTGGGAGACAAGACGTTTTTCATCGCAGCCATCATGGCCATGCGTTACAACCGCCTCACCGTGCTTGCAGGGGCAATGCTGGCTCTGGGGGTTATGACTTGTCTGTCAGGTTTGCATCAGCCTCTTTTTTTTTTTTTTTTTTTTCCTTTCCCCCCCTGGACAACTATTTCATTGCTTTCTGAAACGTAATAAAAATCCCGCTTCCTCCTCTCTTCAGTGTTGTTTGGCTATGCCACCACAATCATCCCTCGAATCTACACCTACTACGTGTCCACTGCACTGTTTGCCATCTTTGGGGTGCGCATGTTGAGAGAGGGCCTGAAAATGAGTCCAGATGAAGGGCAGGAAGAGCTTGAGGAGGTGCAAGCAGAGATCAAGAAGAAAGACGAGGAAGTGGGTCCAATTTGCCTATTCAAAGAGCATGCAAATTTTTTCTGAATTATCCACGTTCTGTCAAAAATGATGTTCCAGGAAAAGTGCCTTGTTTTCTCCTTTGTGACTCAACCTTAATGTAGAAGATTGTAGCTTTGCATATCATAAAGATCATTCCGCCTTTCTGCCGTCCATGAGATTCCAGCACAAAGAGAGCAGAGCGGACATTGCACCACTGTGTGAAAGCACAGCGGCAGCAAAAACAGGGTCTTAATAATATTTCACAACAAAAAGAAAATAATTGGAGTTACCCATTAAAAACAATCTATAGTTCCTTTATATTACTGACTGGCACAATCAGTAATGCGTATCTGGGATCTGCTTCTGCGTGCCGCTCTTTACTACTGTTTTTATCTCGGCTCAGGCAGCAGATGAAACCAGAAATTTATTATCAACTCCGGTGGAGATGTGGAGCAACAACAGTGTCCACATGCAAGAAATGGAACTGAATTTCTCATGTTTTTTTTGTTTTTTTTTCCCCCGCTGTGTGTGTTCTCTAATTCCTTTATTTCCAGCTCCAGCGCTCCAAGCTGGCTAATGGCGCTCCGGACGTGGAGGCGGGAACAGGAACCACCCTACCTCAGTCGAAGTGGCACAGATTTATCTCACCGATCTTCATCCAAGCTTTCACCCTCACCTTCCTGGCAGAGTGGGGGGACCGCTCACAGCTGGCCACCATCATTCTAGCTGCCAGAGAGGTTTGTTACGCTGCAGTAGGTGACCGATTACTGCTTTGATTTTTTTATTCTTTTTTTTATGCTTAATTGCCAGGATCCATTTGGAGTTGCAGTAGGTGGGACAATCGGCCACTGTTTGTGTACAGGACTGGCTGTGCTTGGAGGGCGAATGATTGCTCAGAAGATTTCTGTGAGGACAGGTGAGATGCTTTGTGTTACTTTAATCCAGTTGGAAATGCCTCAAAGGCTGTGAGGAATCAAATTATTTATTTTTTCTTAAAAATCCTCAGAAATGGTTTGTGTCCAATTTCCTCACTTATCTCATTCTATTAAACAAAAAACACAAATCTGGGAGTTGAAAATTGATTTTACTTAAATGTAGACTATGTCATCAATAAACTAATTAATTCACCCTTAGATATTAAGGATTAACCTCGTTTTGAGTTTTTGTTCGCTGCTCATTTACTTTATTTGGATAAAAAAAATAATTAAAAGAACCAAATTGCAACGCTTCAGCTTTTTGACACATCCAACTCTAGATTTTCAGAAGTGAATGAGAACCTGCATCCATAAAAAAAAAAATCTCATGGTGTAGAGTTTCAATTCATCGTTGATTTCCATTTTAAAAACTCTGTCGGCCTGAAACTTTGTTTTTGTTTCCACAGTTACCATCATCGGAGGGATTGTATTTCTGGCGTTCGCCTTGTCTGCCCTTTTCATCAAGCCAGAATCTGGATTGTAATTGGTGGACAAAAAGGAAACTGTTCATTCTGTAAATACGTGTAAGATATGGACAACTCGCTGGAAAGAGACTTTAATTCAGATTCAGTATTTGGAGTCTATTTCTCAGTCCCAGCAGCTTTTCGTCCATGTTGACTTTTGAGGTTATTTCCGCCGTAGACGTCCAAGAATCATTTAACGGTAGAAAAGCAGACTTTCTAATAAAAACAGAAAACGTCTGTCTTAGCACCTCGTACAGCCTGCTTTTCCTAGAAAAGCATTTGTTCCGCTTCTGTTCGTGACTCGGGTGAATTAGGAAACTAGGAGTGCGTTCCTCCACAAATTCAAACACGTACACATCACGGCGACGGGAAGAGCAGCTACTCGTTCTCAGCGAGACGTTCTACCTTTCATCAAAGAGCTTCGGATTAATCTTGGAACAGGAACCCCCCCATTTTAACGTTTTATTTGGTGCAACAGAATCATTGAGTTACTGCGGCTGCAGCCTGAAGAGGAACTGTAGTCGCTCGCTCTTAAGAGCTTCATTCACGTCTGAAGGAGTGTTGAAGAAACCCTACACTCGACCTGATAGCAGACCTCTTTACACAAAGTTAAACTGAACCTGACATGCAGTCCTTTTCTCCACTTTGCAGGCTCATTGTTGGCACTTAACAGCTTTCAGTTTGCATGGTACAGTACTGACCTAGTCGACCTCCTTAACTCTGATCAGTAAAAATAAAAAGTCGTGGAGTATCGAGGTCAGTGGTTCTCATCTAGATATCAAAGCTTTACTGTACCATGCAAAAAAAAAAACATTGGAGAAATAGTTTGGTTGCTTTTAAATGTTTATTTTTTATTTTTTTGTTCCAACTTGTTCTCTTATTTTTGATTTGTTTTTTCTCTCTCTATGTTTTACACCACAATACAGTCAGTATTTTTCCAATGTACTGCAGAGAGAGACCGACCCAAACCACTTCAATACCTCTATCATCTAAGCACAGTTTATGTACGGTTTTTACATGTTTGGTTTTATTTCTGAACAAACAAAAAAGCTTCACTGTTTCTTAAGATACATTTTTTTCTGAACAGTTCAGTGGAGATGAACAGAATGAGTTGTTTATGCTGAAGAATGGCCAGTCGGCATTTATTGTGTCATGAGGTCCGTGTAACGGAGGAGAAACACAAACTCATCAGGTAAAGAATCAGCGACTCACTACATCTTAGACACCTACAAATCATATGAAGCTCAACATTGAGGTGTTGCTTCATCAACACCATGTAGTTTTACCCCTTTTTATTTAAAGTTGTGTATTTATTTAGCTTCATTTACTTTAGTTGTGTACACAAGGTGGGAGAAATTTCTGTATGTGGGGTGTGATGCTTTTTTTTTTTTTTTTTTTTTGGTTTAACTGAATGGGTTTAAGTTGTGCTGTCAATATTAGACAGGCTTTGACCCAGCTGTGAAATACTTCAGTTTGATTTGATGAAATGTCTATAAACTTAGGATTAATAATAAAAAAAGAAAGTGTATTGTCTCGTTTCTGGGCAGCAAAACAACCTCGGAAAAGGCTTTGTGATGGGGCCAGTACTTTTATATTTATATATATATATATATATATATATATATATATACACACAACACACATAATCCATGTAAATGGTGCAATAATGCTCACCTCTGTTCTTATGCTGAATACAAATGTCATTGCCCAATTGTTGCTAGGTTGAGTTTGATATCATTTAACCTCATGATCCTGAGTCCTGAAAGAAACAATTTCTAATATTCTTACGTCTACATAACTTCATTTACAAACCAATAATAGGTTTGTGGTGCTCGGTACAACGCAGCTGAAACCTCAAATCAAAGACTTGTTACATTTCCCGTCTAACCTTTGTTGTTACATTGGTGGGATACTTTGTGTCCCTGTAGAGTTACAGGAAAGTGTGTGGAAAAATTACTTTCGTTATAATGATCTGTCTACTGATTAGCATGACTACTAGCTTTGCTCATAATAGCATCCATTCTAAGAATATTTCAGATTGAGACAGACAAAAAAATATACACAAATATGTCTAAATGCTTTTCTCTGCAATAATTTGAAATGAAGTTCACACTTTAATCACTTCTAGAGTTTCACCATTTTAGATATCAGCTAAATTACAGCCATCTTTTTGTTCACCCACTTGTACCAGTCAGAGCTGCTAAAGCAATACTGAATGGAAGTTCTTGTTTATAAAAGGTTTATTTGCTAGTTTATTACAAATTTCTTATTTTTAAAATTTCCTCATCTTTTCTAAATTAGATATTTTAGGTTTTTTTTAATTAATCCTGTTGGAGATCAAAAGAAGGGACACAAGTGATAGTTATCTGTGAAAAGTAATATAAAGCAGATAAAGTGTTTTGTTTAGAAAATAAAAATATAAACATTACAAGTTGCAGGCAGCTAATTAAAAGATGACATACAGATAGATGAGCTGGTTTTACTGTTTTATTTCAGACAGAATTATTCAATACAATTAAAAGGAGATAAAACATAATGCAGTGTTAGATTTTTTTGTCTATTAAGAGATTTGAAAAACAAATCTGAACAGATTGTTAAATCCCATGATGAACAGCAGGTGGCAGTAGTGTCCCAGTAGAAAGTTGTTTGCTGTAAGCAATCTTTTTTGTGAAAAAGGCTGTTTACAAATTCAGTGTTGTAATAACGTCGGCCTCTTTAATTTAGCGAGAAACAAACAGGTTATACAATTTAACTGTGGTATTTTAACTCTGAGGAAAATTTATGGAAAAAAAAAATTGATGAGCCACAAGGCCTTTCAGTGCCTTGAAAAATGTTCCTGCTCTTTTGTCACATCGCAACCACAAATTTAAATCTCTACTGTCGGGATTTGATATGATGGACCCAAACTAAGTAGTCTGTAACTGGACACATACGTAGTTCTCTGACTTTTACAAAAAAAAAAAAACTGGAAAGTGTGGCATGCATCTGCACTTTATTTTTTAACTGTTGCTTTTTTGGAAAGCTTGTCCTGCTAAGAAAAGACCAACAAGTAGTATATTGGTCTTCATTTAGTGACGTAATGCATCCTGATAAACATAAGGTAATGTAATTTTATTTATATAGCACATTTTCAGCAACAAGGCAATTCAAAGTGCTTTACATGAGTTAAAAGGAAATACAAACAAAATAACAAACCAAAGGAAAGAAAAAAAAGAGGAAAGAAAACTAATCTAATGTTCTAAAGTATGTAAACTAAGTGCTCCTGTTCAGGGTTGCTAAGTATCTAATTCCATTTCTAAATAGTGAGTACTCTACAGTTTCTGATCTAATTCCTTTTCTGGGTTAAAGTGAGTACTCCACAATCCTAAGTTTGTTCTAAATCCTTTTCTGGAATAAATGAACTATAAAGCAACACTTTCTAAAACGGGTGTGACGTTCTGATCTCAACTCTACTGAACTGAGCTGGTCGTTCACAGCCAACATCAGTGTCTGACCTCACGCATACAACTGTTGAAGAACGGTCCAAACTAAATCCTATGGTAAGAAAGTGGTTGTTACTTATGTTTGGTGTTTTAACGTATATAGTAGGACTTCAGGAGATGCTTTGTGGTTCCAAATGAAATGTTGGAAGAGAGGTTAAGCACTTTGTAGCCATTTACCTCAACGCTCCGGACGGCAGAAGAGCTGCGAGTTTCACACCATCTGCTAGTGAATAAGATCAGATGGTGAGGAGGCTGCCGGGATAAAGCCAACACAGTCGGAGCGATTCCGGGAACCCGGGAGGGAGGAGTCAGTGATCCGTCCCTGGAGCGTGAGTCGAGTCCACATGTCTTCTCCGGCCCTGATGACGACTCGCACCGAGCTGAACGCGTTCCAAACGCTGACCACACTGCGAACGAAACCACGATATCCTGGGGGAAAAGACACCGATGCCAACGACAAAGCAGAAGTGGGTCTTTGTGTTTGTTGTGTAAAGAAAAAAATTTGGCAGTTGGGAGGGGGAAGAAAAAAAAAAAGCAATGTGGTTAAAGTTAAAATGCTTGGCTGCCTCTGGAAAACTACAGCGCAAAAGGACCAGGGAAAGTTAGAGGTTATAAATAATTAGTGATGTTTATGCCCTGGTGAGTGTTTCCGTGTGTGTGTGCTAACACAAGCTTCGAATCCGTTCTGACCCAAAACGTTGAGTTTAATGTTGCATGGTCGGAAAAGTCATGTCTTACATCAACTGTTGAAGAAATGTTGGCTTTATTTTCTTTGAAGGCTTGATATTTGACAGCAATGCTGCAAATCTGAAAGATATATGAAGAATTGTCGAATTGAATTGCCATTTAAAATCAGATCCGTCCATTTCTCCACAGAGCAGCTGCCTGCTGAAATGAAGCATCCCCACAGTATTTGTAAAAATAATGAACAAAGATCACAAGGCAGATTTCCCTTTTAGATATATATATATATATATATATATATATATATATATATAAAGAAATGTAGAACAGAACATGTTGAAGAATTACACAGCCTGAGATGGGAGACTGTAAGATCTTCAGAAAAGAGGCGAGACAAATAAATTAAGATATGAATGAGGACAAATCTCACTGGTGCTTTCATTTAGCTTCATTGTGGTAGTAGGTAGTTTCCATTTCATGAGCAACATCTCACAAATTTGCAGTCTTCACTGTTTGGATGTTAAACACAACTTTAAAAAAAAAAAGACAGAAATGTGACTCAGACGGTTGAAGGAAACTGTGTGGAAAGTAAAGGTCAAAGATTGAAAAAAAAAAAAATTAAAAAAAGAAACAAAATCCAAACAGCATCGGCATTGTCTGCTATGCAGACGCACAAACATCCCCGCGGGAGAGAGCAAGTTGGGAAACATCAGCCACTGAGCATTTAAGAGCTTTTTTTTTTTGTCTTAGACTTCTTGGGGGGAAAAAAAGAACCCAGTATTATTCAAAGCTGCAAAGAACAACTATGCATTTCATGCATCATATAAAATATTAGGTCTTTCTTTTTCTGTATATTTACATCATATATTACACGATATTCTGTACAGTTAAACTGCCATCTACACCACATTCATAAAAATATTTTCTGACCCATAATTATTTTTATATAGAAAAACAAAAAGAGCAAAAATAATAATACAATATATTCAAACTGCCTGATCTGTTTGAAGATGCCGACGGTAAAATCTTTAACTCCAGTTAGTCGCAGCAAGTCCAGTCCTGGTTCTCCGCTGAACTCATCCCATCTGGAGGTTTTTCTTTTATATTGTTGTTGTTTTTTTTGTACAAACAGAAGATATCCTTATGAGAAGCCAGGCTGCAAAGTCAGTCTGTTCTCTGCTTCAGAGGCAGGACCCTCCTCAGTGTTTTCTGCAGAACTTAAAATGACACTTGTGTGAAAAGACCTGCGTGTCTTAGTTTGGCTGATCTTACGTCAGTCAGCTACTGAGGCTGAGTGGACGGGCGGTCAGACAGACCGTCTGACCGGTGAGCAGCCAGCTGCTGCTGCTGCTGCTGTTTCTGCTGCTGCTGCGCCGCTGCAGCGAAGGTGCTGTGCTGCTGCAGAGGGAACGCTGCCTGGAGGATGAGCTGGGCCGACTGGTTCCCATGAAGGAGCCGAGGAGCCTGGAGAGCAACATTTAGATCAGAAATACAGAGGAAACTTTTTGTCAACATTTAAAGCAAGAAACAAAATTATTTTTACGCCTTAAAGAATGACGGTGTTAAGAATGTTCCTAAACTTGAACTTTAGGGAAGTTTACAACCCCAAATTTATTGCTTTGGCCATTTTTTTTTCTTACAAAGACAAAGTAGCAAATGATAGTGAAATTTTACTTAAATTTTCTAAAAGTGAAGTGTACATCAGTCCCCTTTATTCTGATACTCCTAATCATAAATCAGTGCAGCCAATGGCCTTCAGGAGTCACCTAATTAGCAAAAACAATTCACCAACTGAACCATATTTACATTTCACAAGCTGAAATATCTGTTAAAAAAAAGTGTGTGTGTGTATATATATATATGCACACACAGGTGCTGGTCATAAAATGAGAATATTGTGATAAAGTTAATTATTTTCCAT